TTACTAAATATTTATTTGTTTTATCAAATCTTGGAACTATATGTATGCTTTTATCTATACTATCTATTGGTATACAATTATACTGTTCAAGTTATTCTAATTTTTAACATTTACATAACTTATTTACTTCTTAATACCAATGAATATGAACAAATTTAAATGGTTTACTATCTTTGGATTTATAAAATTTGAATATTAACAATATTTAAATAAAATATTAAATTAATATAATAATTTTTATCATTTATATTAATATAATTTAAATTCAATTGCTTATCAAACTATACCAATTAATTTTTTTATCTTTATTTTTTCCACTTATAACAATATTAGAAAAAGATAGATTTCATAAAAATTTAATAAAAAATGAATAATATCATTACTTTTTAATATTGTTAAAGAAAAAATTTCTAATCAAAATTTTTATTAATAGAATCAATTAATTTTTTTTCAAGAAATTTATAAGACTTGTTATTAAGATATTAAATCCTTCAATTTGTAACAAATACAAATCATCTTTATTTTTCTATATAAAGTAATTTAAATCTTCCAATTTTAATATCCATAAAGATTTATAAAATCATATAATTCATTGCTATTTTTTAGAAGCTTTGTTTTTTTATCAATTTCTTTTATTTAATATAAAATAATTAATTATTAAATTTTAATAACAAATAATAAAAATTAAAAAAAATAAATTCATAATTATACTATTTTTAATATCTGTTTTATATAATCTTTTTATTAGACATTCAGTATAAATTTTTAATATATGTTTTGTAAAGAATTTCATAGGCCTTTATAGTTATAATATTTATTGTTCCATATTCTTTTATTGAAGATATTAAATAATTATACCAGATATGAAGCTTTGGTAATTGCAAATTACTTTATAAATATGGTATAAATATTTAAATAAATTCTTAAACCCAATTATTAATAAACATCTATAATAAAAAGTATTATTAATTAAAGCAAATGTAATTAATTTAATTTAATATTACTTATCTTAAGTTTATCTATAGAATTGTTATTAAACAATTTTATTCAAGATACAATATATTGTTATATATTGTTTTTATCTTAGGAGAAAGATAAAGACAAAGAATTGGTAGTAGAGAAGTACTTTAAATAGACAGAATCAATGTAATATGCCAAGTTTCTAAAGGTATACAAATTAGTACAGTTCTAAAGTACTGTATATAAAGTTAGGCAAAAGAGACAATAGTAATTTGTTTTATAGAGATAAATATATTTATTCAATAAAATATATGTTTAAGCCTGCTAATTTTTAGGTGAAATTATAAATTTTATATATATATCTGAGTTATAATATTTTTGTACATGATAATTATAAGTTATAAGAAATAATAAAGATATAAAAGAAGGATTATATTCATCAGAACAATTATTTGTATGTATTAATATAGAAACAAATAATTGATAAAGATACAAGAATAAATATAAATAAATAAAATAGAAAATATTCTAGAGCAATCATAATATAAAAAGTATAATGCCAAACAATAACAAGAATAGTAATAAAAGAATTATTCTAAAATGGACAGTATTTCAAGAATAAATGCTACTAAAAATCAGACAAAAGATAGTAATAATTTTAAGTGAAAATCAAGTATAACAATATATTTAAAAAAATTTATAATAAACTTGATATAACCATTTATTGTTTATTCCTGACTTCTATAATTATTATATAGCGTTACAGGAAAACGACAATCAACGATATGACTTAGAAATTGAGAATGATGATCACGCATTATAGAGGTTGCCAAAATGGGTAATCGACTCTCAACCTCATTATTTCTTTTATTTTCGTTATTTTTTTTATTTCTTTTATTTTCTTTTGCTGTAAGAAAAAGTATAAAAACGATATAGTAGAAGAAAAGTAAAAGGGAGCGGAATGATTAATCAATAAAAAGAAGTGTTAAAATCGATCTACTTATCGCACTGTTCTGACCAATAAAAATCCTCCTAAATTACACAAACTCGCCAAATCTACGTTTCTTTCTGCCTTTAATTCCCTCCTGTTATAACAGATACCCCTGTCGAAGTGTCGCGAAGTCTAGGATTTCGCCATTACTACTGATAGACCCTTGACCCGTGACAATAGTATTATATATAGTTTCTATCTTAGGAAAAAGATAAAGACCTAAAACTAGTAGCAGGAGGATACTTTAGGTGGAAGGGCCAATGTGATATGCTAAAGTTCTTAAAGGCATACAAATTAATACAATTCTGATGTGTATGAGATCAAGTAAAAGAGGCAACAGTGATTTGTTTTGTAAAGGTCAAGATGTTTATTCAATAAAATATATATTTAAGCCTGCCAATTCCTAGATAAAATTGGAGCCTTTATATATATGTTTTAGTTATAATCTTTTCATATTTGATAAATATATGTTATAAGAAATAATGAAGATATAAAAGAAATATTATATTTGTCAAAACAGTAGACTGTATGTGTTAGCATAGAAACACATGTTATCAATATATTTCTTTGATTTTCTTGAGACTTTTGTAGCAAAGAAAGAAAAATTATAAAAGGCTTTTAAATATTAAAAAACAAAAAAAGTAAATATGAAAAAATGGTTTTTTTTGTTAATAAAAAAAATTTTTTTTTAATTAACATGTAAGTATCATATTATAAATTTTTTTAAATAATTAATATTTATTTATTTATTTATTTATTTATCATTATATATAGTATATAGTAAGCAAATATTGAAAAAAAATTGTCAAGTAATTTAATACCATATTCATAAAAAAATATTAAAGAAAATTCTATAAATTAATCTTTGTCTAATGTTTTTATTTTTTTTATAATAAAGATTAATAAGAAAATAATTAAACAAAGTTATTGATAATGGTATAAATTGATTAAACAAAAATTATATAACAAAAAAAAAAGTTTGAAATTATTAAAATATAAATTATTGGTTAAAAGTTTTATTTGTTGCTTTTATTTAAAATAAAGATATAATATTTCATGCTAAAAAAGTTATAAACAAGATATTATTTATTATTGATAAAGAAAAACTTTATTAAATTAAAGAAAACCAAACAACTCTGTTATTTTCTAAAAGAAAAAAGCCTTTTTTATATAAATGGGTTTCTAATATAATTAAATAAAATAGAAATACAAGCTTAAAATAGTATATACAATCATGTTTATTCTCTAGAAATTATACACATATGTAAAAAGTGAACCAATAAATAATAAAGTGAATATTTTATTTTAATTATTTTAATATCTTTATAATTCCACATTAATAACTAAAAAAATGAAAAGCAAAAACATCACAATATAAAATTATTGGTATTTGAAAGCTCATACTAATATTATATCAAACACCTTTGGAATTGGCATCATATGTCATATTCCATTATTTAATTTGATAATTGATATTTATGTAAAATTACATATTATAATATAATAACTTTATTGAAGTTTAAAAAAAGTTTGTTATGTATAGAATTTATCATAACAAATAAGCAATTAACACATTTACATAATTTATCAAAATTAATTTACATAATAAAATAAAAACTTTTATGATATAAATTAATTATAAAAATTATGAAATCTAATTTATTGTTAGTAGCAATTTTATTTATCGAATAAATTTCCAAATATTCAATATACAATAATTTAAAACATAATCACAATCATCGCAAAAATGTAAATCCTAAATGTTAATAATAAAATGTTGTTAAAAATTAACAAAACTTTCATTTTGTATATAATTTGTTATCTATATTATACTTAATATAAAAAGTATATATTGTTAATATGTAGTAACTTTTATGTTTAAAAATGTTTTCGGATTTTTTCGAAAGCCCCTCCCCGTGCATCATATTTACTTTTATAGAGTAAACCGGGACCCGGAAAATTTTTGATGATCATAACTACTTTCAATTAATGCTTCGATCATCAAACAGTTTCTGTTATCGATAGTTGACCGTATGTAGAGCATTTAGTCATAGGCGCATGTAGAGCATTTAGTCATAGGCGCATGATATAACCCCTTTAGGTTCGAGATCGCTCCTGCAAAACGGAAAAATGTTAACGCAATGACGATCTCTGCAATCAGTAAACCCCCCCTCCTCATAACCTAATATGAAAAACAGGTGGTGATTGTCGTGCTACTGGAATATTTTCTGTAACCTTTTCACGTTTCGTTTTTGCATGTCTTATCGCAAATGTATGTGTGAAAGAAAGAATTTTCTTATGTGAAAAAAACAACGATTATAGGTGGCTTAAAATACAATCATTATAGACCTGATGTTAATCCACCCACATGGCGCTCCTCGTGTTAATTTTAACCATTATAAATATTGGGGTTTTCGCCTTTGTGGAGTTTACTGCTTTTCAAAATCCCGCCTATTGTCAATGAAGTCCTTGAATCTTTCGATATTTCTTGCTATTGTCGTCCTCTTTTCTCAATGCATTACGATTAATGCATCACCAGCATTGAATAGGGGGAACATCAGATTTTATCGTGTAATTACTAATCCTTTTTTTGAGAAACTGTAAACTGAAGGATATAACTGACACTTCTTTTCTTTAATAGCGATTCCCTTGTTTTTGTGAACGCTTAGGCTGCCCAGACGTAAGGCAACCTTTTCCGGTTCGTGCGCAATAATTGTTACAAATATTAACATGTTATTACATGTTTCCAGGGTTATGTCTGCACTTCCAGAGATGAATGTTCTCCGATTTGTTCTCCGGGAAGTGATGCTCCGTGTGTTACTTTCTGTAATGCCAACGTCTACTGCTTTGGGGTAATATGCCTTATTAACATACAATTTTGTTAATTTAACATATCGGCCCTACTAATTTATTTAATTTATTTCTTTGTGGCGCGTTCAGGATCATCTCACTTGTTCAAATGGTCGGTGCATTAAGTAAATGTGATTTGTAGAGATAGGATTAAGTTAAATTCTGCATTCGGAATCAGGTTTACTATGTAAAAATGATTAATGTGCAGATTAAAAGCTTCTATATCTCATTTTTATTCTTTTTGACTAATCTTAAAGTTCTAGTATTGATTTGGTATCTAGTACTTTATCCCTTAATGCGTTACAAATTTATAGTTATTTTTAGAATTTTTATTAAATAATTTAATTTGGTTATATAATTATGTTCTTAATTGATTTATTGGAAATGCCACAAAATCCAAGTTCAAGGTGCTGAAGTTTAGGACATGAGCGAATAATATTACATATTGATGATTCGGTAATGAACGCACACTCTCCAAGATCAAGATATTTCAATTACTGTAATGGCATTTATATGCTACTGCTTCAACAACCTCATCTCCAGTATTGCTACCAGAAATATCAAAATGTTTTAAATTTGGAGAAGATCTAACAATAGATACAATAAGAGAATTATTTTGAAAGACCATAATATCGGCGAAATCAAGATATTATTCTTTGAGGTGTGCTATCACCATATCAGCATCTTTGATTTCTCCACGGCTAAATGCAATATCTAAAGATCGTTAAGTTTATAATTATCAGTAATTCAATATGCTTTACTAAAATAAAATTCTTGCAAATTACGACCTAGTTCCGCAATTGCCATTAATAATTTATTGGTAATACTTCTACAGTAAGAAACATTTAAATACTTTAATTTATTGCATGTTTGCGCAATCTCACATAGCCCTCTATCAGATATAATTTGATTATTCCAAAGCTATTTTAATTAATGTCTCCTCACTAACGCCCACACGATTTTTAAAATCTAAATAAATTATATTTTGGGCAGTAATTTATGATAGATCTAATGAATTTGTGTGATTGAATAATAATGTGAAATTTTTACGTTTTTCAGATTTTGAATTTTCTTCTCGCATATTGATTTTATGAAACTTTCTTTCTGTATTCAATATCATTCACAATATTTGCATTCATCTGGAAAATAATGTCCATAATGGATGTCATTACATTTTAACTTTATTCTTCTCCATAGTAACGGTACACCAAAACTGATTAACAAAAAAAGCAGAATAAAGGGATCAACTAGTTTCTAAAAAATATAAGATCTGTTCTAGTAAATCTGGTACTGCAAATCAATAATAGTTGGTTGTGCCATTCTGAGAATTTATATTGTATATCTTTAATCGAAAAAACAACCAATGTCTGTGGTTAAATGCAAATTCCTTTATAGCGTAGCGTGGTGGTAGAATCATAGTCATACTCTTGAAGATCAAATGTCTTATGTTCAGACTCGTTCATTAAGTATAACAAATTTTGGTTCAACCAAATCATCTCAAGGTTTGACCACGTTGTTTTTTGTTAAGAGAAACTTGGGATAACAACTGACATGTTAACATATCAAATAATTAAAATGACCGAAAATCTCTAATATACAGTACATGTTTTAAATTTTAAAGTACCATAGCTTGCTTTTATATATCTTTGGTTCATTATTTTGAATTCAGACTGAAAATACCTCACAAAGTCAATATTATATTTACTGGGTTCTGACCGATTTTGACTCAACCAAAAATGACTTAAACCGTCAATTTCAGGGTTTACCCGACTCATTCAGAACATTAGCTGTGGATTTAATCTTTGACAATTTGTAATTTCGTGAGGTCGCAAGTTAATTATGCACGATAAAAAGTAGTATTATCATCATTGTTTCGCGTCACATCGCACTCATTTTATTATACCGTAATTTTTAGAAAAAAGAGGAGATATTAGCTTGATAACAGATTGTATCTATTTTTCTTGGTTGCCTTATACAGTATACAGTATTTCTGGTATTACGTATTTTTAAATCTATAATTTTCACGCTAAAAAATTTATAAATAAATAAGCATTCTAGATAGATATTGTTACGGCTGATTAGCAGAGATTCGCGTGACCATTATTAAAGTAAGTGAATTTGATAATATAGAAGCGTTTTGTTTTTTGACCGAGTGTTTTTCGTATTTATTTATATTAAAATCTGTTTTATATAAAATTTTTTGATCCTAACACTAAAAAATTGAATACAATAATTACGAGACTAGATTTTACAGCATAAATATTTTTTCTAATTCCTTCCCTTCCCTTCCCTTCCCTTCCCTACTACTATAAAATCTCGCACCGCCAATCGGGGGCTGGATTTTCGCGGTATCCTTGTCGCGATTCATCACGTGATGAACTTCGCATCTCTGTATTATACATGTAACATTATATTGTAAGATAGTGCTTTATAATTAGTAAAATAAATAAAGATAAATTAAAGAACGTCCGCAGCTACTAACCATTTTCTGTGGGAAAATATGAAGGTGGCGATGTTCGTTGGTTTTGATGCCGTGCTGGATGTATATAATGTACGGCTTGTGTTTGTGTTTCTGGTGTTGAACGGTCGTCTTGCACATTATGGTTGCTTGGTCTGGGTATTGAACTAATTTCGGTATTCTTCAAAACAATATTCAATTTTGCATTATCCCTGAAATCAATATAATCATTAAAACAAGACTTAATAGTGCGTATTGAGAGTTTTTATCGTACTTACCCGTCAGTAATGCCCCCAGATATACGATAATATAAGTTATTAAGGTTAATGTTGTCACCGGGATATTTTCTATTATCTTTACGATGCAAATTTTTGTATAAGTAACGACGATCCCTCCTTTCTGGTTTGTTATTCATTATGGTGACAGTTATTGAATTCCTTCCTTTCTTCATAGCGGTTTTGACCTATTATCCGATTAATGAGTTATATTTTCGATTCCATAACTAATAGGAATAAAAAATACTTACAGCCCATGTAATTACAAGGTAATGAAAAAATTGTTCCCCTTGAACTTTAAATGACAGTATGCCTCTTGATGCAAGCATTCCTGAAATTTGTCTGTTTATAATACGTAAAGTTAATTTCTGTATATACTAACCACAACAAAGAAGCCGAGAATTCTTACGCAGTATCTCTTTTGGAAGGATCAACATCATCCTCCATTAAACCTTTGACGTTACTAGGCGTAAAAAATTCGGGCTGGCAAAGTGATAAAGTGCTGTGTTTATTAAAAACATTCACTTCCAAGCTTACATGCAAATCTCTAATAACTTTCTTAAACACTTGCAAGAAAGCATTGGATAGAGCATCAAATTTTACAACCTCCATTTAATTTAATCTTGTACAGTAATGTTGAATAAACCAAAAAGTAAATTTTTTACATCCAGTATTTATAGTTATAATATGTATACATTTGTTAGTTATTGTTTACGAATTCCTCGTAAGAAGGCGCATGATTTTACCAAATACTTTATTACGTATAGTATATGCGGACGGAATTACAAAGAAATCACTCCGAAGTCACTTTAGCTCCTGTAGTCACAGTCACGCCACTTTGGTATAAATACTGAAAGGTGGAGTGATGCATCTTCCGGAGAGATATGAATAGTGTACATGTATAATATACATATTTATTGTGTACAATTCACTACATTTTAGTTTAGCCTTTGCAATTATGATCTCATTAGTAAAATTAATTTAGCCACATATCACACGATCAAAAATTGTATACTTTGTATACTTTTATTGGTGCAAAATGATCAAGAATGTCACATAAAGTATACAAGAAAGCACAAAATCCAGGATGTCCTTGAATATTTCTTATAATAATGCAATAATATTATTGTTAAAGAAATTTAGGTTTACATTCTTCGAATCAAATACTGTTGCGTCATTTCCTCAAGGGATCGCCGTGAAATCACAATTTGGTAGTATACATCATGTTACGTTTCAATGCAAATAATATATGGGAAATTATCCTTGAAAGCGTTAAAATGCCAATAAGTTTCTTTGACCAATAATTCTTGTTGTAATATCTAACTTGGACAAAACACGTCGCAATAATGAATGCGCACATGCAAGTGTGAATAATGTTAGAAATCCATAATCGACGAAAGAAAAAAAAACTTGACTAGGTCACGTGACCAGTTTTCGCTTGTCAGATAAATGAACTATGTAATATGGTGACAAAGATGATAATCTATTATGTAATGGTTTCGCCGCGATCTGTTATTTAAATTTTCTTTTTTGTTTTCTTTTATTTTTCGTATTGTCATTTAGTATATGCAATTATTTGATTACGGTCAACTCTCGATAAAAGAAACTATGTACAAATAGTCTATATATGCTGATGATCGTAGCATTAATTGAAAGTA